TCAACTCTCATGCCCCGGTCAAACGAGAACAAGAGTTGCATGAGAGTTGAGAAGCGAGAGTTTGCATGAGAGTTTTCTCAACTCTCATGCCCCGGTCAAACGAGAACAAGAGTTGCATGAGAATTGATGAGAGTTGAGAAGCGAGAGTTTGCATGAGAGTTTTCTCAACTCTCATGCCCCGGTCAAACGAGAATAAGAGTTGCATGAGAGTTGATGACAGTTGAGAATTGAGAGTTTGCATGAGAGTTTTCTCAACTCTCATGCCCCGGTCAAACGAGAACAAAAGGTGCATGAGAGTTGATGAGAGTTGAGAAGCAAGAGTTTGCATGAGAATTTTCTCAACTCTTGTGCATTCCTCAGTAAAACGAGAACAAGAGTTGTTGAGAGTTGACTGGATATTACCACACAATAGTGAAAACTCGAACCAGTTCAAAGTTGATGAGGGTACATGAGAGTTGGCTGTGAAACGCGAACGAGAGTTGCAACTCTTATCAACTCTCATCAACTCTTATGACAGTTCCCAGGTTGTTAGTTCAAAAAAGATGTAATTTCCAAACTTTAAGGTTTCACGGGCTGTTTGGAGACCAGTGGACAAAAATCGGCAGTTGCCTTGGTCGCAGTGGAATGTCAGTCCTTCATAAATTCCTGGAACTACAGGGGACAAATGGTAAGAATTGTCATATCTTGCAGGACATTTTTTAGGAAATTACAACTGATGAGGCTAAGTCTCAATGAGGGCCCTTCCCCCACACAGTTACGCGTACATAAAGACCATGCTGTGCTGACTCTTATAAGATGGAATGTCGAGAATGTGAGAGGATATGAGAAAGCAGGCAAATGCAGCTTTTTTAGTTCTTACTAATGATCAAAAGGGCCCAGCTCATCTGAAAATATTACTTCACTGCTGGGGCAAGCAAAGGGCCTACCGGGGGGTAAATGCCCCAGTAGTTATATAGTTAAAAAATGCCCTGCTTGTAGGTTATGACGGGGGCAACAGGTTGCCTTTTTTACAAAAACTACACTTCGAAAATCATGCGTTACTCACATGAATTGAAATTGAGAATTGTTTTCAAGCTCAAATTTCATTTTGAAATTCCTCTCAGAAACGTATTCCACCTTTATGAAGAAAAGTCAAAAGGAAGCTTGCCAAAACAACAAAAGAAGCTGTCATGTTGTTTTACAATGCATTTTAGTCTTTGGCGTCGTGCAAGGAATAAAATTGTTCCAATATTTATGTTTTTCTACAGAGGGCTGCTGGTCAGAGGAAGAAATTGGGCGTCTCGATGCGAGCGTAAGAGCTTCGACAGGCACCGAATTTGGGAGTCAAATTTATGGCGATATAAATTGGATTGAAGTAGCAGATTTCGTTATGACACGAACGTCTTATCAATGTCGGGCAAAATGGTAAAGCATGTATAATTTTGTTGTGAACTTGTGATAAGGAGGAGATTTTAGAACCGATAGTGTTATCCAGAATAGAAATTTTGCACATGACGTCATAGCCGCCATGTTGGTGTTCCAATTCAAAAGAATTTTAATTAGATTCTTTTGTCTGGATCACCAACATGGCCGCCATGGCTTTTGTTGAGTTGGTCCCTGGGGAATGAGTGCCAACGCTCTATATATAAAGTAAGTTTAGGTTTCCTTCTATAGCCCTAGTACTGAACTATTTTGGAGTGATCTGATACAGTTCAATTGAAATATTTTAAGATTTTTTTTATTTAGGTTAAAAGATGTATGTTGGAAAACTGCCAATGGGGAAAAGAACATCAAATGGAATTCTGAAGATGATGTTAAACTAATCGAAAGGTTAGTATCGGCTCTGGGAAGAATCGAACCTGCGATTCCGGTGCAGCGCTCTAACCAACTGAGCTACAGAGGACAGCATGCCTGTAGAAAGTAGGAAATTATGGAGCGACGCTACCTCCAAAGTCAACCCAAAAGATACACTTGAGTAACTTGGGTAATTCAAAACTGAGTTGAAATATGAATTGTGAAGTTACTGGCTAACTCCAAAAATCCGATCCTCAGACCCTCGGGATCTGAGACCATGACAAGGGTCGCGGGGAATGCGTTCGTTCCCCTCGACCCTTGTCATGCTCTGTTGGCCGCATGTAAGACGGGCTCCTAGCTCCATTTGAAGACTGGCTACCTTCACAAAAATAAAATCTACAGGTGTGGAGGACAGTTGTTGAGCTCTATAAACCACGAACTTGTGGTTAAGCTTGACAACTGGCCTCTGTAGCTCAGTTGGTTAGAGCTTGACAACTGGCCTCTGTAGCTCAGTTGGTTAGAGCTTGACAACTGGCCTCTGTAGCTCAGTTGGTTAGAGCTCGACAACTGGCCTCTGTAGCTCAGTTGGTTAGAGCTCGACAACTGGCCTCTGTAACTCAGTTGGTTAGAGCTCGACAACTGTCTCTCTGTAGCTCAGTTGGTTAGAGCTCGACAACTGTCTCTCTGTAGCTCAGTTGGTTAGAGCTTGACAACTGTCTCTCTGTAGCTCAGTTGGTTAGAGCTCGACAACTGTCTCTCTGTAGCTCAGTTGGTTAGAGCTCGACAACTGGACTCTGTAGCTCAGTTGGTTCGAGCTCGACAACTGGACTCTGTAGCTCAGTTGGTTAGAGCTCGACAACTGGACTCTGTAGCTCAGTTGGTTAGAGCTCGACAACTGTCTCTCTGTAGCTCAGTTGGTTAGAGCTTGACAACTGTCTCTCTGTAGCGCAGTTGGTTAGAGCTTGACAACTGGACTCTGTAGCTCAGTTGGTTAGAGCTTGACAACTGGACTCTGTAGCTCAGTTGGTTAGAGCTTGACAACTGGACTCTGTAGCTCAGTTGGTTAGAGCTTGACAACTGGACTCTGTAGCTCAGTTGGTTAGATCACTGCATCGTAATCGCAGTGCCGCAGCTTCGATTCCTGCCAGAGGGCCTACATTTGAATTTTTCGCAACTGCTCCTGGTTAGGTGTAATAAATGTATAAAAATTTTACTCGGAAATTTCCATATTTTGCAGATTGTATGTCGCGAACGAGACAGACGAAAATGACATCAACTGGGTGCAGATGACGAAAGATCTTCCTAAGTAAGCTTGTAAATATGCATGACGAAAAAAAAGTTTTTTTCAGAATCGCACAACAGAGAAGACTTATTTTGATTCGTTTTTAGGACGCCATCTGTTACGTGGTTACGGTCCAAATGGACAACGTTAAAGAAAGCCGTTCCAAATTACACCGAGTGTGATTTTGAAGGTAAGGCAGCTTAACCGTTTACATTTGCGATAGACTGCACTTGACTTTAGTCTGTCTAGACGGATCATCCATCCTTATACGTTCTCAACCTGAAATCGTACATTTTACCGTAAAAGGAGATTTTTTTACTTTTTATCTAGAAATTCTGGA